CTCTTACGTAGTGCCAGCTCACTACAACTATCTGCTTATAGTGACTCCGACTGGGCATCTTGTCCTCTTACTCGTCGCTCTGTGAGCGGCTACTTTATCCTTCTAGGTGGCTCGCCAGTTTCTTGGAAAACAAAGAAACAAACCACCGTGTCCCGTTCATCAGCAGAAGCTGAATATCGTGCCATGGCTAACGCATGTGCAGAGGTACGATGGATCCGCGGTCTTCTTGGGGCACTCGGCATTACTCCACCGACAACGCCACGTTTGTTTTGTGATAACAAGTCCGCTTTGTTTATTGCTGCCAATCCTGTTTTTCATGAACGCATGAAACATATTGATATTGATTGCCACATTGTCCGTGAATGCGTTCAGCGCGGTGAGATCGCCACCGCATATGTTCCTACTCGTCTACAAATTGCTGATTTGTTCACTAAGGCTTTGAACAGGCCTCTCTTCGAGTTCTTATTGTCCAAGTTGGGCATTCGTGATCTCCATGCTCCAACTTGAGGGGGAGTGTTAGCATATATATTTATTTACTACCATATATGTAATTAGTTTTGTTTGTAATTAGTTTCCTTGTTAGTAGTGTAATTAGTTTCCTTGTTAGTAGTCCTTTCCATACTTGGAGTAGGACTTGGCACATGTATATATACGTTGTGAATATTGAATGAAAGGCAGTTCAGTTTTTCCAAAATTCTACAAAAGGCAAACACAATTTTGGATTTTATTGGTTTTAGTTCTAATCGGTTTTGGATATCATCGGTTTCAAATCTAATCGGTTTCGAGTTTTATGGATTTTGAGTATTATCGGTTTTGGGTTTAATCAGTTCGGATATAATCGATTTCGGATCTAATTACTTTCGGTTTTAAATCGGATATGAATTATTTAGTTCAATTCCGTTTCTGTTTGGATCATTTAAGGTTTTTGGTTATAGATCAGATCTTCATTTTTCGGATCATTTTGATTTCGGTTTGGGATTATGCGATTCAGGTAATCGATTCGATTATGTTTTTTCAAGTCTAGTTATTTCTACATTTTCATTTCTTATTTTCCAATATTTTAAATTCTAATTTTCTTTGAAACAAATTTAACTTAGTTTTATCTCTTAAATTACTTTATATTTTCTTATGAAAAATCAATTGAATATTACATTTTGTAAAATATACACTTTTTGAGTAAAAAAGCTAAATAAATTTAATATTTAGTGCACTTGTGCTTTTTAATTTTATTGATTTCCTTTTAAGATTAAAAAAATTTCCCATAACTCTCCATAAAACCAATCGGAGTTGGCTACTCCGTTTTGGAGCTTATTATTTATCTAAACGGATTAGGCTAATTCGTTTCACTTATTCGATTACCAAACGGATTAGCCAAATCCGTTTCACTATTTATTTATGTTTTTAATAATTTTCTTAATGCACGAAGCTCATTGTTGTTTGTTCCTATTTATTTTTTTCCTTTAAACCTTTTTAGTTATTTTAACTCCACTTTTATAAACTTTTTTATTAAATTAACTCTACTTTTATAAACTTTTTTTTAAAACTTTTCTAACTCTATTGTATAAAAATTTTGTATTATATAAATTTTTAGTTTCTGAATGAAACCAATTAACTTTTGTTACTTATAAATTATTTATAAGAAACTAAATTAATTACAAAATAAAGGAAACATATATAAAAAAATGTAAAAAATATACTATAAAAAATTTTAAAAAATACTATTTATTGACTTTAAGTGATATTTATATAACGAAATTAAAAGAAGAAGAAAAAATACAATAAATTTATTGCTAGAGTACATATAACAATTTTATTCATAAAAAGAAGAAGACAAAACACAATCCATGACTAACTTATTTGTAAAATTTAATACTCCCTCCGTCCCCCTAAGATGTTCTCATTTTGACTTTTGGTGGTTTTTAAGGAGAGTTGAAAAAAGGTGAAAGTTTACCATAATACCTTTAATGAAAAATGGATGGAGTGTATTAATTGAGGTGGGTGAGGTGTAATAAATAAAGTAAGTGGGGGTAGTTGTGGTATTTTAATTGTTAAAAAATGAAATGAGAAGATCTATTGTGGACAAAGAAAAAGGGCTATTGGGAAGATCTATGGGGGACGGAGGGAGTAATACATAAACTCAGACATAATTGAAATTCTTGACATAGCTATTCCTCGTTGCGATGTCTCCGTGGTCGATAGTCCATGTTATTCAGATAGCAGGTTCTCGTAAGTCGGCCGGTTCGTGTGCTCTGTCGCGGCGTTGGCCTCAGTATCTCGTACTCTAAAGTAGGCAATTTAGACTCATTTGGAAGCGGCATTATGATTCCAGAGTAAGCGTTGATGTAGGACTGAGTTAAAAAACATTTGGAATCAAATGATCTACGGTGACACTACAGTAATGACATACTGCGTGGACATGACTGCACGGGATGTGAAATGTTACCCATTGACTGCAGCTACATGTTCGTGTATTTAAGTTCACCGTAAATGTCTCCCGCTGAGCAATGTTGGACGACCCATCCACCACCACAGAGTATATCCCTTCTTGTGCCTGGTGCTACACAACGCGACAATAAAGCCTATTTTCTTCATTTTTCCTAATATGTTTCGACACATTTATAGGAAAATTGTACCCACACTTCGTAGAAATTTCTGAAAGAAGTTCCGAAGTAAGAAACTGCAGACCTTGATGTATAAAGCTGGTGAGCCCCTGAACAGAAGTGAGTTTGACGAGTTGCTCCTCCGAATAGCGTCCAAAAATCAAGAAGCTTACAACTGACTTAATGTCATTCCAAAACACATGTGGGCGTTGTCACATGATGAAGGTGGCACACGTTATGGTATAATGACTACAAATTCGTCAGAAAGTTTTAATAATGTCCTTAAGGGATGTCGTTGTTTGCCCGTATATGCCATTGTGAAGTTCACCTATGATAAGTTGGTCAAACTTTTTGCTTAGAGGCGAACAAATGGATATGTATGGCAGCAATCCAGGTACAATTTTCCTATGAATGTGTGGAAACATATTAGGAAAAATGAAGTAAATAGGTTTTATTGTCGTGTTGTGCAGCACCACGCACAAGAAGGGATATACTCTGTGGTGGTGGATGGGTCGTCCAACATTGCTCAGCGGGAGACATTTACGGTGAACTTAAATGCACGAACATGTAGCTGCAATCATGGGTAACATTTCACATCCCGTGCAGTCATGTCCACGCAGTATGTCATTACTGTAGCGTCACCGTGGATCATTTGATTCCAAATGTTTTTTCAACTCAGTCCTACATCAACGCTTACTCTGGAATCATAATGCCGCTTCCAAATGAGTCTGAATGGCCTACTCAAGAGTACGAGATACTGAGGCCAACGCCGCGACAGAGCACACGAACCGGCCGACTTACGAGAACCCGCTATCCGAATAACATGGACTATCGACCACGGAGACACCGCAACAAGGAATACCTATGTCATGAATTTCAATTATGTCTGAGTTTATGTATTATTAAATTTTACAAATAAGCTAGTCATGGATTCTGTTTTGTCTTCTTCTTTTTATGAATAAATTGTTATATGTACTCTAGCAATAAATTTATTGTATTTTGTCTTCTTCTTTTAATTTCGTTATATAAATATCACTTAAAGTCAATAAATAGTATTTTTTAAAAAAAATTTCTAGTATATTTTTTACATCTTCTTTATGTATGTTTCCTTTATTTTGTAATTAATTTAGTTTCTTAAAAATAATTTATAAGTAACAAAAGTTAATTGGTTTCATTGAGAAACTAAAAATTTAAAAATTTTTATAATACAATATTTTTATATAATAAAGTTAGAAAACTTTTTAAAAAAAGTTTATAAAAGTGGAGTTAATTTGTTAAAAAAGTTTATAAAAGTGGAGTTAAAATAACTAAAAAAGTTTAAATGAAAAAAATAAATTGGAACAAACAACAATGAGCTCCGTGCATTAAGAAAATTATTTAAAAAAACAAATAGTGAATCGGATTTTGCTAATCCATTTGGTAATTAAATAAATGAAACGGATTAGCCTAATCTTTTTAGATAAATAATAAGCTGCAAAATGGAGTAGCCAACTCCGGTTGGTTTTATGGGGGAAAACATATTTTCAAAATGCATATAAAGGAATGAAGTGCAAGTATATTACACTGGTAGGGAATTCACCCATGGCTTGACACTAGTATGAAATGGTACAATCTCATTTTTGAACATGGTACCAAATTTTTAACGATAAATGCATTTTCTAAGAAAATGCCGAATTGTAAGAATATAAAAAGGTTTTTTGAACTTACAACCATAACTTAGTGCTTTTGATTGACTTGGTTCATTGACATAATATTAGATTCTTCCAAGCAGAAGATCACATGCATGAACCTTACCGCCAAATAGCTTTAAAAAATTAATGTTCCCATGCAAGATTCAAGAAAAAATAAATTTTGCCAACAAGTTAGAAGACGTGCTAGTATGCAGCTTAAAATATTTTCTGGACCAAGAACCATAAGTTTGTGCTTTGGTCATGTATCAAAGTCTCATTGACCCAGAAGTCACGTGTTCGAACGCCATCGCTTTCCAGTACAAAAAAGTCACGATTTCACGGTTCAAAGCAATGACGCGTGCACGTGTGGGCCTGCTAGAATATAAGAACATTTCCCCAACCACAAGGTTTAGTTAGTTTATTGACACGGACCGTCATAGATCGTGTCTACCTCTAACTTGGCCTAAACAGGTTTCGGCAAATATTTTCCTTTTCGAAATAATATACCAACCCAGCCTTATAACCCTCAACATACGGGTTCTACCTTCTAAGTCTAACTCAATTGAAAGAGGAATATAACTCTAAAAAGGAGTGAATTGCAAACCAGTACTCCCTCCATCTCATAATTATCATCTTCGTTTCCTATTTAGATTAATCTAAAATAAATTCCTAGTTTCTGTAATGGAAAAAGTTACATTGTTTAAATCATTTCTCTTTCTTCTACACAAACCATAATCACACTTTTTTAATTTATTAAAAAACGTGTCAAGTCAAACAAAGAAGGAATATTATGAGAGAGATGGGGTAGAAAGTAATAAAGGATATCAGGAAATCGGACTTACATTTAGGTAAGAACAAACATCTTGATTTAATATGAAGTCCATGAGCGAGAAACTCAAATCCTTTTCCCGATTGTGTAACACTTGACGGTTTACCGTATAAGCTAGACAGTAACACATTCAAAAGAATGGCTGTGAAATGGCCTCATAATATAGGTGCCTCTGGCTTAATGATTTCCCTTGTTCACATCTTGGATGGTTTAGGGAAAATATCTGGTGTGAATTTCTGGGCTGCATTGATACTCCCTTTGATTCTGATAGCACCCCTGAAAATAAAATTAAAAAAATCTCCTATTTCATATCCACCCATAATGATGCCTGTTTGGCATAACTTTCTGTTAGTAAAATAAATGTGATTTCTCAGTTAAGCGCCAATCGAATGCTTCTTGTTCTTAAAATAAGCACCAGATTTGCTGTTGAATGCATTTCTCATTTTCTTATTGCCAAACACTCTTTGAATGAACTTATTCTTATCCCCTAATAAGTAATCCCAAAGCGATTTGGGAGAAACTAGGAGTTAGGAGAACCACGCACCTCATAAAAGCGATTTGGGGATTCATCTTCCCCGTAGCAATTTTCAGAAAATCGTCATCAGTAAAGGAAAATGTTGCATCAGGCTTTCCATCTTCGTAATTCCCTGAATTCATCCAAAGACACCAATTTCCAGCTCAAGTTTTACAATAATCTACGAAATCTGGTATGAAAATTGGAAACCCTAACCTTCTTTAACCTCCCCTTTCTTCAGATCAACAACATATATCTTCTCATTAAATCCAAGTTTCTATGAAAAAACGGAAAATTCACAGTTCAGATATTTAACTTGGAGACCAACAATAACGACATAGAAATGAGAACTGAAAGCACCTTAGGGGCGATGTGGAGCTCGTAAACGAGGCCAATTTTCTTGATGAGTTCCTTGCCGGCGTCAGAGGAGAGATGAAGCTTCATCTGCTCCATTAGAGTGTCGGACTTGAGCTGAGAAGAGTCGGCCATGGCTTCTGCGTGCCTTCTGGATTACCCAACTGCGTAGAAAGTGACGGTGTGAGGAAAGGATGAGAAGTTAAGGAATGGGGTCCTAGATATAAATGGAGAAATGATGTCAGAATTAAATTTTCTCTAGAGCCGCTACACAGATCCGGCCAAACAGACTAAGAAGAATTTAATAGCAGAGTTGTCCGTATATAAATAGAGAGATGAATTAATAATACAATAGAGAGAATTGATGAAAGGGAACGCAATCCAGCAACGAAGAAGATCGTTACCGACCTGTAAAGGCGCATTGATTGTTGATAGGCCACAGGAGGGTAAGCATGTGTTTGGATCCCAAAAGAAAATAAGAGGAAAGAAAATGAGGAGAAAGAAAAAAGAGAGGAAAGAAAATATTCCCTCCGTCTCAAAATATAAGCAACATTACGCTAAACGAAGTAATTTTTTGAATTTTCGCAATCCATTTTATTTAAAGAATGGTCTACAAATGAAAAATAAAATTTACATATTTAAAAACTACGTCAAAAGTTCTACAAAACAAGTGGTGACAAGAATATTTTATTCTATCAAATGATCAATGAAAATGCAAAAATAAATAAAAGTTCATGGGATTTTTAAATAGTGGAGTGTTGCTTATATTTTGGGACGGAGGGAGTACTCATTTTCTTTTCTTTGTTTGTTTGAAGTGAAAAGTGGAAAGAAAATAAGTGATGGAACAAAAAAGACAATTTTGTCCCTGGGAAAAGTCAGGATAAAGGGCAAAAAAGTAAATTTCAAAACTTTCTCCTCTCCTGTACATTTTTCTCTTCAGTTCGAGCAAGAAAATTTTGAAGGGAAAAGTCACCCTCACTTTCTTTCTTCCTCCCATTTTCTTTTCTTTCCAAACAAGAACATTATATTGGGTTTTGTTTTTTCTTCCAAACAAAGCATAAGAGCATTTGCAAGGGGAGGAATTCCATCCCACTCCGACTTTTAAAGCATCAATTTTTCACTAATTTTTTTATTAATCTTGAAAGGTTATCTCCTTGAAAACCTGCATTTCCGTTTCGTTCACATTATTCATTACTTTTAATTCAAAATTTATATAAATTTAATATAATTTTATTTTAAGCAAAAAAAGATGAATAATTTAAAATAAAAATAAAAATGGATTGTAAAAATTAAAAAACTAAAAATAAATGAATACAAAAGAGAAAAATAAAGACTTAAAAAGAATACTACGGACCTGCCCTATTTATTATGACGTGTTGCCACCATCATGTCGTGGAGGCACTTCAGCTCCAACTTCGACATCCTATCCATTGCCATGAGTTTGCTAAGGTTGATGCAATGAACAGTGAACCTCATGCTAGCAAGGTTTTTATTTATTATGTCCAACCCGGGTTTTCGGCTAGGGTGGTATATGTTAGACAAGGCGTGCAACTCTAGAAGGGGGGGTGAATAGAGTTGTTGAGAATGTTTACCGATTTTCGCAGGATTAAAAGTATAAACGTAAGTGCAGCGGAAATAAAATAGAGAAGGCAAAGAACACACCGATGTATACTGGTTCACCACCTTGTGGCTAGTCCAGTTCCCCGAGAGACTCTCTTGAAGCTACCACTACTTCCGTTAAGCTTACGGGTGCTTAACAAACCGTTTACAACTCGAGAACTTGAATCCCACAAGCCTCGACACAATCGCTCGAAGATATGCCCTCTACAAGACTTCACAACCAAGACTTAAGTCACATAAGTCTTGAACAACAAGAAGAACAATCTTCTTCAACCTCTCAACAATAGCTCTCAAAAGAGTAGATAAGAGAAATGATTAAAGCTCTAATGGATGACAAGAAACCTCTCTTTAAAATATAATTTTCTCTCAAAATAATATAAATTTGAGGAATGATTGATGGAGGATTAACACCTCAAGAATGGGGGAGTTTAGGAGTGCTTGTACATGCTAAAAATGACCAAGGAGTGAAGTTTATAAAGGGGTTGAAGGAAAATATCCGTTGGTCCAAGAAAAGAAGCTGTGCAGAAAAGATGCAGCATAATAATCCATTAATGCATCACCAATAATCGATTAATGCAGTCTGCGCAGAGTTCCTTCAACGCGTAAATAATCGATTAATGCAAAGGGATTAATCGATTAGAAGGCTCTGAGAGGACTAATCGATTAAATCAAGAGGAATAATCGATTAATGTTAAAAAATGAGCAGCCCCACTGAAAAGCTTAAAAATCGATTAAAATGAAGCAATAAATCGATTAGGAGGTTCTGTCCAAGCTAATCGATTTTTTTAATAGAAAAAATCGATTAAGAATTCAAACCTGAGAAATTGCGCTGGATCTAATCGATTATTTTAAAGGATATAATCGATTAAAATGAAAATAATGCGCAAACACAAAGGGCCCAAGCCAAGTGCGATTGGAGAGCAAATTGGCGTAACACTCGTTGTTTGAGACAACGGGAATCAGAGAACGCTCCTCCTCTTATCCAATGAATTTGAATAAGGGAGTAAAAGTGAGTCCAAAAATTATTTTGTGTGTCAAACGATGTACACGAAAAATATTTGAAAAATATTTTTGCTTACCAAAAATATATCAAAATAAATATTTGATAAATGTTTGACACACTTTTTGTAACTGACTCAATAAAACTATTTTGAACAGTTAAAAAGATTTTTCAACTGACTGCAAAAATAAGTATAATTTTTATTTTGACTCTCATAAAAATAATTTTGGAGAGAAGATATTTTTGGCATCCTTACAATAATTCCTAAGACTCAAATAAAAAAAAAGTCTTCGAAAATCTTCTACTCCTCCGAGTCCTCCGTTAGGCGCTCCGAACGCGTCTCGGACTAACAAAATCCTGTGCACCTTCTTGAATGCTTCAAGGAATGACACTTCAAGTCTTCGTGATTGTTGTTGTAGCACTTTAATCTTGACTTGAATAAATTGTGTTTGTCAATTATCAAAACCTGTGAGTCAACACTTAACAACACAGAAAGGGTTGAACTCATGCATTCCAACAGTATACTATGAGCTGTTGTCCTCACCTTCCTGTTCCCCTCCTTTGCTGCCTTTGACCCGATCTGGTGGATCTGACCGTTGATTCGTCACCCGATCCATGGGAGAAGTCATCCCTCGTGGCGTTGAGGTCCATGGAATGTCCGCCCCTGCTCGTCGAGTGCGAACCAGATTTGAAGAATTTGGATTGCTTCTGTCCCGATCTTACGACCTCTGGCCCGATACAGAATTTCGGACTCCTTTGTAGAATTTTTCAGATTTCCTAGAACTTGAAAACCCTCCTCCGCTTCATAATAAAGGTCCAATGCTCTCAGCATAATGTCTTTGGTGGAAGACCCACTAGGCCACGTCTTGAGCACATTGGCATATAAGCCACCGAACTTCTGGACTTCCAGGTGCACACGACTCAAGTGTTTTCGGAACATCTCTCCGTCACGTACAAGTGCACTATCGAGCCTCCCACCATTGTACTTCACCGCAACACGCTCCTAGAAAATTTTAGATTTCTAGTAATTTCTGGAAATGGCATCCTCTAACACATCGACATAATATTTCGCCAATTTCAGACTTTCCGCCGGAGTATACTTCTTTGGCCCATCCGTCCTATTGGCTTTTTCTTTGCTAAGGCCCTCACTGAAGGGCTCACGGCTCCAGTGTTTTCGAAACATCCCTCCGTCATGTACGAGCGCACTATTGAGCCTCCCAACATTGTACTTCACCGCAACACACTCCTAAAACATTTTAGATTTCTAGTAATTTCCGGCAATGGCATCTTCTGAGACATCGACATAATATTTTCCCAATGTCAGACTTTTCGCCGGAGTATACTTCTTCGGCCCGTCCGTCCTTTTGGCTTTCTCTTTGCTAAGGCCCTCACTGATGGGCTCCAACTCAAAAACATCATAGTCAGTCGTATTAACGACCGACAATTGGTAGGTGCTATTGTTAGAGCCTGAGAACATGGCAGAGTCGTCGCGGGGTAAAGAATTCGAGTTTGCAAATCGGATGATGATATCGAGTTCGGAATTCTCAAAGTTGCAGTTGTTGCCCTTGGAATACATTTTGAATAGTTAGAAAATGGAGAGATAAAGTGAAATAAGTGAGATGAGAGTGAATTGAAATAAATGAGGGATGAGAGTGATGAATTGAAGTTGAAGATGTGTTGAATCCATTGAGTTGTAAAATAAAAATTTAAAGAAGGGGAGCGTCGCGGCAAACCGTCATAATGGATGGTCGCCGCAAATTTCCACTAGAAATTTAGCCCAGCGGAGCGCTAGACATGGGACGTGCACCGTGGCTGAAAAAGCGACCCTCCTCGTGCAATAGTGACCGGTGTGGCGAGACAGGAGGATCTGTGCAGTGTGTAGGAAAACCCTCCCCCCTCCAATGCAAATGCTCTAATGCATTTCAAAACTTAAAAAATCTCATCTCCCATACTCGAGAGGATGAGGGGTGTGCCCTCCCTTGTTCCCCTTTTTCCCTTCTGCCAACTTAGCGTCACGTCAGCTTCATCTTTCCTTTCGCTTCCTCTTTCAAGGAATGTTTTCCCCTTTCCCCTTCAATTTTTAATATTATTTTTTTAAAATTTATTTAAATAATAAAAATAATTAAACTAAAAACAAAAAAATTACATAAAATTATTCTTTTACTAAACTTAAAATAATTGAATATTTCATTAGTTTAGTTAATGCGTTCCCCTTTTCCAAGGAAATCCCATCCTCTTTTCCTCTTAATCTTAATTTATTTTTATTATATTTATAATTTACATTCATACATTAAAATTAAATTAAAAGTATACTAAAATTGATACATTAAATATTTACTACACAATAAAAATATTGGTACACAATTAAAACACTAAATTAACACTTGTTTTAACACATATTTTCACACTTATTTTAATTCAAATAATTAAAGTAAAAAAATAAAATGGAATTAAATAATATAAATTTACAAAAACTCAAAGCAAAAATAAAAAAAGAAATAAAAAACTTGAAAACTTGAAAAAAATTTCAAAAATATAAAAATTAAAAAACTGAAAAACAATATACAACTAAGTAAAAGGAAACGAAGTAACAAAGCAAAGAAAAAATGAGTAAAGAAGAAAGAAGCAACAAAAAGGAGAAAGAAGAAAGGGAAGAAATGAAAAAGGCCAAAAATATAAAGGGAAACGGGAAGGGGATCCCACCTTTCTCGTTCCTACATAAGGGGGCAGTGTTCCCCCTCCTTTCCCGCATGCCACATGAGCTTCCTGTATCCTATACTTGTGGCACACCCCTTAGCTTTAAAATGGGCAGGACCTCATCCTCGAGTAAAGTGAATTTTAAATTTAGTAGGCAAAAATGTAAAATTGTACTCCATAGAAAGTTCAACGATGAAAAACAAAGATTACAAAAAAAATTAATCGACTTTTATCATCAGTGATCCTATATTCTGTCATCAAAAAATGATGGCAAGGGTCGTTGGTGATGTTTGATTAGTGTAATGTTTTAAAAAAATGATTTCATAATATGACATTATTAGGAAGTATAATTAAATTAGGATACTTCTTTCCTTTCCTACTAGGATTATTCTTTCCTTTCCTACTTGTACTTTAATTACTCTTGTATTCCCTATATATAGGGCCATATCTCTTAATATTCAATAAGACAAGCTATTATCAAATTGTATCATGGTATCGGAGCTAAGGCTCTCAAAAACCTAGCCTCTCTTTTTTTCCGACCGCCGCCCACCATGGCAGCCCCGTTGGATCCTTTGGCGTCCTTACCCTCCGGAGTAAAACTTTTGCTTCAGAGTCTCCACAACTTAATCCCAGAAAAACTCACCGAAACAAATTATCCGGCATGGTCTCTCAATGTCCAGACAGCTCTTTCAGCTAATCTCCTCCTTGGATGGATTGATGGTCATGAAGCAGCCCCAGCGCCAACTATCTCCAAAAACGATAAAACTGTCCCTAATCCAAAGTATACCTCCTGGACCATCGTTGACACACAGATCCGCGCCTGCCTCCTAACGGTCATCAGCCCCTCCGTTCACAAACATGCTCGCGGCTTCACCACATCTGCTGCCCTCTGGGATGCTTTGGCCGCACGGTACAACTCCGTGTCCACCGCTCATGTTTATCAGCTTCAGGACAAACTCCACACTCTTCGTAAAGGTACCAAAACTATGACACAATACCTTGATGATGTGGCAACTATTCTCTCGGATCTCGATGCCTTGAAAGAAGAGATCCCTGAACGTGATGTGGTGAATGCTGTTATTCGTGGTCTTCCCACCGAATACTCATCCTTTAAGCAAAACATTCGCATGAACAATACCAATATTTCGTTAAATCAGCTTTCTG